TTCTTCCCTCCATTTAAGATAGTCTATTTTATCCAGTAATCTACCTGACTTTCCTACCACCTGGATCTCTGTTCTTCTGTGTTTACCTTTTTTCACATTGTTTCCATTGGTTTTTGAAATATTAGAAATTAACTTTTAGAAGGACTTGGTGCTAACTTGAGTTTATGTTGTAAGTAAACTTCAGCAACTAGCTAATATCCCGTGATGAAGGGCCTATGACCCTTAGTCACCCTTCTGGTCTGGAAATTAACTCCCCCATGATTCAATTTTTCAGCCAAAAAAAAGAAAGATCTATAAGGGGAATAAGGAACTCTGGTAGCATAGTGGTTACAAATTAGGCTGCTAATCTCAAGGTCAGCAGTTCAAAACTATGAGCCATTCCATGGGAGAAAGATGAGGCTTTCTGTTCCTGTAAAGATTTACAGCCTCGGGAACCCTGTAGAGGGTCGCTATGAGTCAGAACTGACTCCACGGCACATTACCATAAGGGTAATAATATTAGCAAGGTATATACAACTTAGAATCGTCAACCATCTGAGATCAAAAGGGCAGCACTTCCCCAAAGACAAAGTTCAGAAAAGTTAGGAAAGAAGAGTGGAGTCGGGAAACCCAAGGAAGATGTGAGATGAGTGATATTTCATTGAGGGGATTGTAATCAGTAATATGAAACGAAATGTGTGTACATTGTTGAATGTAAAGCTGATGATTTCCTCTACAAATCTTCACTCAAGTCACAATAAAAACTAAAAATAAAATAGAGTCCATTAAGATCCTGAGACTATATGAACACCATGAATCCTACCGTAATTATTTGATAAGTAAACCCCTAAGTGTTAGCTGCTACTAGAACACTGTCCTGGGTTGTGGTGTGGCACTGTTGGATAAGCACTGGACTGCTAACTACAAGGTTGGCAGTTTAAGCCCACCAATGACTCTGTAGGAGAAAAATGAAGCTTTCTGCTCCTGCAAAGATTTACAGCCTTGGAAACCCTATACAGGGTCACCGTGAGTCAGAACCAACTTGACAGCACTTAACAACAAAGAACACTGTAGGGAGGTGAAGTTATGAAAACAAGACTTTAAACAAATACATAACAAAACCTGGGCATGTAAGTAGCAACACAACATAGATTGCTGCCTTTTAAAGAGCTTAAGTTTGTTCTTTTGCTGCCTTGGACTTGGCCTTCGGTGACTATATTGTTGTTGTTGTTGTTACGTATCATTGAGTCAGTTCTGACTCACAGCAACTCTGTCTAGGGTTTCTGAGGAGCAGCTGGTGAGTTTGAGCCACCGACCTTGTGGTTCAAACCCAGCTTGCTGTCCAGTGCACTATCCTGCAGCACCACACCAGGACTGTTTCCTCCATGCATGGTTTTGTTTTTAACTGTACCTGTGCTAATTTTGCAGATCCCCTTTCCCTGTTTTTATTATCTAAAAGTTCTTTTGTTAGTAAATATTCTAAAGGGAACCATTTTTTAAAAGAAAAAGAAATTATAATCATACCTCCCAAACACAAAAACTATTTTTAGTCCTCATTTCCAGACTTTTCCTGTATAGGATTTCCGAGGAGCGGCTAGTGAGCTTGAACTGCTGACCTTGTGGTTCAAACTGACTTTGCGGTCCAGCGCATTAACCCACAGCGCCACCCCAGAATTCTAGGCTTTTCTTTACAGCTCTGTTTATTGTGTTGTTGTTAAGTATCATTGACTTGGCTCCAACTCATGTATAGCAATGACATGCTACTCTGCTCTCTACTTTACCTGTATAGCGCTGTGACTGCAGTTTCAAGACCGACTTTTTCTCACTAAACTTTATTTGCCTCCCTATTTTACATTGTGTGTGTGTGTGTGTGTTTATATGCCATGGACTTGGTTCTGACTCAAAGCGACCCTGCACAGGGTTTCTGAGGCTGTAAATCTTTACAGGAACAGAAAGTCTCACCTTCCTCCCATGGAGCAGCTGCTAGTTTTGAACTGCTGACCTTGAGGTTAGCAGTCCGACTTGTAACCACTATACTACTAGAGCTCCTTTATTTTACATTGTGTAATCATAATTATGTTAACTATGGCCTAAAGCCCAAAATGCAGTCCTGGTGTGGTGCTGTAGGTTAAACTCTGGACTCTAACTGCAGGATTGGTAGTTCAGGCACTCCTCAGAAACCCTATACAGGGTTGCTATGAGTCAGAACTGACTCAACAGCACTTAACAACAAGAACAATGAAGCCCTAAACAGAAGTCCTGATCTTTCCCCAAACAACCTGCTTCCCCCACACCTTCCAGTCTCAGTTAAGGGAGCTCCATCTTTCAAGTTGTGAACTCTGTAGATCAGTTGTTAAGCGCTCCACAGCTAACAGAAGGCGGCAGTTCAAATCAGACATTGCAGAAGAAAGAAGTGGTCATCTGCTTCCATAAATATTACAGCCTTGG